TAGCTATCTCCAGTTTCCAATTGTGGCAGCTAGATGAAAAGGTGGGCGAGGGAGCTGATTCTTCAGTGTACACATCTCTGGAAATTGTTACAATGCTGTGAGCTCCATGGTAATTGCCCTGTGACTAAGCTGGTTTGTGTTTTATTCTTCTTGCAGCAAGAAAAGCGGCTCTTCACAAACTTCCACCGGCAGCTCTTTTGCTGGCTTGATAAGTGGGTTGATCTGACTATGGAGGACATCCGTAGGATGGAGGAGGAGACCAAGAGACAGCTGGATGAGGTCAGTGGCAAAGCAGGGCAGGTGTGGGTTGTGTGAGAAACTGCTTCTCTCCAGCACAGCAGAGAGGAAAGGCTGCTGCATTGTCGGGGCATGGTGTGAATTGTGCTCCTGCTATTTAGGTCATGCTGTGTGTGCTTTGAATGATTGGCCATGAGTCCATCGTGCTGGCATCTCCTCCTAATCATTATGGAATTCTCCTTCTGTTTGTTGTTGAGCCAGTAAATGTATTGAACCACAGGTAATGAGGGGCTTAGAGGCAATGATTCATTTACTGTCTCAATATCTTCTGTTTACTTTTACTCAAAGCTGAATGGTCGATTTTGTCCTCCTTAGTTGCCAGAAACCTGTTGAGTAAAAGGTTTTTTAGCTCTAAGTACCATAAGCAGGTAAGGGGGTATGTAACAGGATTCTTACTCTGAGAAACACAAGTTTGGTAATAATGAGAACCTTGTTCCATGGTTTGTGTCCTGCCTTGCACCCTTCCCTCCCTTCATGCCTCAGGATATTTCATTATAGTTTCATGTACGCTCTTGCCCTTTGGATAAAGGTTCCAAATCTGTTGCCAACCCACAGCCTAACCAGAAATGATGCCTGCTTTTGTGCATTTCACAATCTCCCATTTGAAGTGCTGAGATTTAATCGATGTCTTAAACACAGAGGGTGTTGCATACTGATACATTTTGAGATAACACAGTGAGAATAAGTACTTGAACACTTCTTTCCTCTTTCAGATGAGAGAAAAAGATCCAGTGAAAGGAATGTCGGCTGCAGATGACTAATATGACTCCTTCCTTGTGCACTGTAGGTATCAAGAGATTTGACAAAACTCTGTATTGCTCTATTTGGTTTAAAACCCCCAACATTTGTGTGAGAAATGATCCTGTTCATAGCTTCTGACACGCAAATCTGTGCTATTGATTGTTTTTGTAGTGAACCCGTTTCACTGACAGGTTGATGAGTGAGGATTACTGCCTCCTTTCAGAACTATTCTAAAGAAAAGTCTGAGTGAAATGTGTAAGAAAAATGTGTTAGAAAATTCTGTAGAGTTTACAGCTACTCTTATTTCTGTAATGCATATGTTACTTTCCATGACTTGCAGAGTAACTTTTGTCAGTCTCAAAAAATCTAACGTAGACATGCAAACACTTAGAATACAGTTGGAAATGGAACATTCCAAGCATATTTGTGAGTTTATTTTTTCCATTGCTTGTTAGCAGTATTTACTAATGGGCCAAGGCTCAGAGTAACACTTGGGCATTGCAGGAGAAGCAGAAATGACAGTTTTGAAGCTTTTAAAAGACAGATTTAAAGCTTTTTAAGAGACTTGTTCTCTTTCTGTTCTGTTAAATGTGTCATCAGCTTGGGGGCTGGTTTTGCCAAATTTTTCTTAGACACTGCAAAACTCTGGTATGGTATTAGAGAAGTAAGAAGGCAAGGAAAAAGAAAGGATTGTCCATTTATGTTGGGAAGAACAGGTTATTAGGGCAGTAAAATGCCATCCTAGTTATCCTTGGAAGGAATGGGGTGGGGCAGAACCACATCCTCCTGGAGTCCTGACTCTTTACCTCTGTTTGCCCTCTGTTATCTGCTGGTTGCTTGGTGGTAAGTGGTGAACACGAGGTGAGGGAGTGTCTGAAGGGCTGTCTTTTGATAGAAATACTTTAATTTTTGAATGCAGCTTCAACTTGATTTTCTTCTCTCCCTTTTCCTCTGGATCAGTGCTGCAGTGGAACCGTGCATTGCCTGCCTGGCGACAGCGTGACTCACATTTGCTCTCTCAAGGTTGTCTGACGCTTCCCTTGGCATGCTGCTCTTCCAAAGTCATCCTGAAACGTTTCCCTGTTGTCCTTTTGTTTCAGTTTGCAAGACAGTCGTCAGGAAGGCCCAGGGAATCCACACCCTTGACTGACGGAACATCTCTGGATCAAGCCTTTCTCTGTCCAACCGGCAGGCGATTTTAAACCTCCCATAGCTAATTCTAGATGCCCCTTAATATTGTGAGCAAATAGACAGTCTGGTACTAAGCACTCCAGTGTTAGCACGTGTATCTCAAGGAGTTTCCTCCTTGGGGCCGTGTGACTTAGAGATCGCTGTATTTACGACTCCTCCCTCCTCTTTTTTTCATTGTGTTCAGACCAATTTCCATGTGGCCCTGTTTGATTTCCAAGTGACATTTTTAGCTCAAATAGTCTTGTGATGTGGTGACTTAGAATTTTTTATTTGTTTTGTTTTTGGTTTTTTTTTTCCATGTGGGATAAACTGCCACCTTTGTTTCTGCCCAGCCCTTCACCTTCTTTGAATGTCTGTTTGGAGAGGGAAATTGTCCATATTTAAAAGTGCAAAACTCTTCCACAAAATGTTTTGTTCTCACCTTCACTCCTGGAGGGAGATATTTAATGGCAGGTAACCTGAGTACAAAATGAGGAGCAGCCATAGAATTCTTGGTTGTTAAGAGTTGTGATTTGTAGCTTCTGCAGGGCATTACTTTGTTCTGTCTTAAACATGAATTAAAGACTGCCCAGGAGCTGCAGTCAGGCCCTGTGCTGGGGCCTTCAGCACTTACCTGTTGAATTTCCATTTTAGGGGTCTCTCTGGCCCACGTAGCTCTGTTGTCCTCCAGCTGTGTGTGTCAGTCTTACAAAACCTTTCTCGACATATGTTGCAACTTCCTGGTTCTTTATTTATTAAGACTTCCCATAACTTACAAATCTGGACTAATAATAACATTGTGATTCTCCCTGGACAAATTGGGATGTTGCAAAGGCTGGTGTGCAAGCAAGGTCTTGGCATCTGGTTACATCCAAGTGCCTGGGGCGGTGGTTCTGCTCAGCAATAATATTCTTCCCACTGCAAGACTGACTAAAATATCTCCTTTTGTGCTGTAAGAAAAGCAACTTAGAAAGACTTGCAGTTTTCTAGGATATCTGTTGGTTATTATAAATCATAGAGGATACTGTTAATGTAAAGAGCTCTCATTATTTAATGAACTCGAATATTTACTGTAACTATCCTTATGTTGATATCAGCTTTAGACAATCAACTCAGCAGAACAGAATCAAGGAAATGCTGCTTTCTTCAATACATATGAGGAAAAAAAATCCTACTTCTTTGCTGATCCCTAAGGTCCAATATTTGAATTTTTTCCTCCCCTAGTAGTAATAACTTTATTTTCCACTTCTGTGTTTGGCAGCACTAACATGAAATCCTGTATGCCAAACAGTCGTGGGTGTATCACCACTTTTGAGGAGTCTTTTTAGTATTCTGTAATACACTGACTCCTCCAGCCCTTCCCACTCCTGCATGCAGGAGATCCTGAAATGATCCCATGCCCTGCCGAACAAGGCTGTGCTGGGATCAGATCTGTTTTCAGTGCAAGGGAAGATGGGAATGCTCTGGAGGGAGAGGATGGCGTTTGGTTTCTGGGGAGGGGGCAGTTTATCCCTTTATTTTTAGTTTGTTATTTTGCCTTACTCATGTCTAAGTGCAATAAGGTCTGAATTGTACCAGTAACTCTGGCAGGCTCTTCTCAGTGACCTCAGACGGTTCTGTGGGGTTGGGGTGGGGTTTGAGGGGTTTTAGCAATCGCACCAGGCAGAAGTAAAATATGTTTATTGTAAAATAGGTAAAGAAACAAAATTTTAATCTTAGAGGCTATTTGGGACCAGGATGTTTCATGACATGTTGTATAGCTGTTCCAGAAGTATTCTAGGAGTGTAGGCCCCAGTTAGAGTTCTTTCAGTTTGAAGTATTTTTAACAGAGAATTTATGCACTGACTTCTGTTCATGTTTGTTGGTTACGTTTTGAGGGATTCTTACACTTGAGGGCAACCTGAGAACACACATAGCACACTTGTTCTTTCAGTTTGTGTTATCCAAGAGGCTTTCCATCTGATGACACTAATCGCCGTGGAAGCAGATTGTAACATTCCACCATTGCAATCCTTTTTTGATCCTCTGATTTCAGAGTAAGAGCTTTTACACAAAGCTTTCCTGATTAGTGGAAAAACTTGGAGGGGGGGGGGGGAGGAAACTGCAGGAACTTCAGCCTGAATACTCCCCTCTGCTCCCTGCCCTTTGTTTTCTGTCCTGATCCTAAGTGAAAGCATCCCTCAGCCTTTGGATGGACAAATCCTGTAAAGACCCTTCAGTCTCGACGCTTGGTTCCTGCTAGTGAGCATAGCAAAGATCACGCAGCGTTCCCGTGCCGTATCTTCCATCAGCTTTTGCGAGAACCCCTGGACCTGCGGGCTCCCGGCGGGATCGGGTCCATCCAGAGGGGCTGGATGCGCTGGGATCACCACTCCCATCCAGGCCGGCTGGGTTTGGGGCTCCGGGGGCTCAGGCTGGTTTGCTGTCAGGGCCGCTCGCCCCTCGTACCCCGCATCCCTCTGGGTTCATCCCGCTGGGCCTCCCGCGGGTCCCGACGGGTTCTCCGTGCTCTTTCCTTTGGCGACACACACTTTGTAGAATGGGTTAGATTATCTCGTCGTTTCTTTAAATGTGAGTTTGTGCCTTTTTTGTCTCCTAAATCTTCCAATACAGGCATATTGGAAACGAAATCTAATAAAATACTAGACAGAGCCTCTCGCCTCCGCCTCCTTTGTTTCGGGGTTTTGGGGAGGGCTGCTGTGGGTCCTCCCGGCCGCCAGGGGGCGCCGTGGCGCGGCGCGTGCCCGCCCCCGTCACGCGCGCCTATGGGCGCGGAGCTCTGAGGGCGGCGCGGAGGCCGCGGCCGGGCCGGGCCCTGTGAGGGGGAGAGCGGGGGGCTCCGCCGGCTCCTTCCCCATCCCTCGGACAGCGCTTCCCTGCGGGAACCCCGGGCATGGAGACCGCGGGCCTTCCCACCAAGGAGTTGAGGTGAGTGGTGGGCGCGGAGGGGCGCGAGGTGCGGGTGTGAGGGCAGCTCCGAAAAGTGGCCCCAAGAGGTTACGTAAATCGGCGAGAATTAGCGAAACTTGTGTGTGTGATTATTAGCGGGGAGTTACACAAATTGGCGGCGTTGCGCAGTCATATGAAATAGAGGAGAAAAGCTGATTTTCTGGTTTGGAAGGTCGGTACTGGAGTGCTTCAGGGAGGCTTATGGGGCGTTTCTGGGTGCTTGGGACTTCTCACAGATCTGTAAAATGTGTAATGAGGGCACGAGCATCTGCACTTTGGTAATGGACCGGGAGTCTCGAACCTGTCACGTTCTGGGAGGAAGAAGAAGCTTGAGTAAACACTGAGCTTCTGCTTTTACGATGTTTTTACAATGTGTCTTCACTCTGTGTCGGTTTTCTGTCAGGGCGCGATTCCCTACAGAAACCTGCTTAGATGGGATTTGGATAAAAGCATGTGACAGGAATATTTAAAAAAAAAAAAAAACAACAAGCTGACAAGAGCTCCCATATCTCAAAAATCCTCTGAAGGTTTTATTATGAGCACTGTGACCCCGAGAAATTCTCCGCTATTGAGTCATTTGAGGATTAGCAGCGGTGATGCTAAATAATTACTTCAGTTGCTTGTATTTAGGACACTGTTTGTTTCTACCACTGAAGTCTGTGTTTTTATCAGTACTGTGGTCGCTGGGCACCTTGAGGAATTGAATTTCTGTCAGTAATGACTGATGGCTTCAATATAATTTTGGTTTTGTTTAATCGGGTAATTATTTTACAAAATTAGTAACTGGAGAACGTTCCCAAGTGATATATCTCTGCTGGCAGAATTAGATCTGCAGCCTACCTACATTTTTTTCCCCTTAGAAATTTGTTTTGGAGTAGCGTTTGGGTGACCAGCATAGTCTTAAAAAGGTACATTATTAGAGAAGGAAATTATGGATCGTTTTAATCTGTTGTGAAAAGTAATTTTCCAGCTTTTCTGCATACAATGTGTGTCACCTTGAGCAAGCAGTTGATTGTGGGATAAAAAACAGCCTTAATAATGGGTGTATTGGTGGGACTCACTAATTATCAATGTTTATAAGGCCATTATAGAACCCTAAGATGGGTGGAAATTTAAAATTTATTAATTTTTAAGCCTGTCTGTCATGTAACAAGACTGAAAGTAAGGCAAATCTCTTTTTAGAACCTCTGGTACTGAAATTACTGTTCTGTAAAGAAACATATGAGTGGTATGATGTGAATGTTGAGAGGAACAGTGGCTTTGCTTGGTTCTGATCAGAACTTTGAATGTTTGGGAGCTGGAGATTACATTTCTCCTTGCCTACAGACAGGCACATGATGGATTCAAATCAACAATAAATTCTTTTAAACCTTGAGCTTGTAGAATTAACCACATTAAATCTATTATGAAAAAACCAATTCACTGTGTGTGGTAGGATGTGATTGCAGCTTTTGTAACACCCCAGCGAGTGTGGTGGGAACGCCACAGGTTTTTTTCCCAGCATTGCTGCACCTACATTTGTCCTTTTGTGTTGGGAGCAATGCTGAATTCCACAACATCTGGAAGACCCTTATCAATCTCTTAATTTGAATGGGCCAGTCCTTCAGGACATAGCTTTAACTTGGAGAGCTGATGGCGTCGCTGAGTAGCGAGGATGCATTTCAGCATTCCGAGGGGCTCTCCCTGAACGATTTGGAGAGCCTGCCCAGCCTGCGCAGCCGCTCCGCCAGTGTCAGCAGCACCGGCTCCAGCGGCCGGGTACAGCTCCGGCACAGGGTGGCCCAGCTGATGGCGTGCGTGGAGGACATCAGCTCGGATGATGAGATCCATGAAGAAGTGTCTCGCACTCTGGATGAAGCTTTCCTCATCTGGGGGAAAAAGCTGAAGGATAAGTGGCAAGAATTCAGGTTTTGTTCCCTCCAGTTGGTTGTTTTTGTGGTGGCGGTGGGGTTGGCAAATAGATTTCTGATGAGAAGTGACAGAAATTCTCTGGGGAAATTAGAACGTTCTTGGAGTTAGTTGTCTGTTGACATTTCAGTTTTAGCATTGGTTTTGTGTTGTTTCTGTTTGTTTTTAGACTACACTTAGTTACCTGGAATGTGGGCACAGCTTCTCCCCCTCCTGATGTCACGAGTTTACTTCAGCTCAACTCAGTGAGCCCCACCACGGATATGTACGTTATAGGGTGAGTGATATTAATCTTTATTATCATAAAGAACTTGCTTTATGAGTTCATTGCTAAACTGCTGGGTCTCAGCATGGTCTGTTTTGGGAGGACTGTGTGATGTGAATCACTGCCTGGGATATGGTTTAATGCTATTGATACCAGAGGGTGAAGATTAACTTAGTCTAACAGAGGACTTCAAGCACAGATGGATTTATAGCAGTTAGCTGCTGCTATGTGGTGACAGAATGTAGAATCTTTTTTCTAAATACACAAAAAGTTTGGGCTGCTGTTTTCTTTGTTAGCATGTTAATTTTGATATGAAAGTTATTGGAAATTCATCGTGTTTTAAGGGAATGAGTACAAGCTTGTTAGGCACAATCTGCCACTATGTTTTCCAAAGTGTGGTGAAATTCTGTCAGTCAGGTTATTTGTTACAACATTCTTCAGGTGAAGATAGAGTTTTAATTTTAATTTTGTTTTCCTCAGTGTCAGATGTGTTAGATCTGTGTGTAGGTTAAACTGTTTGAATGAGAAACTGAACAGCAAGAAATTTCTGGGGTCTGTGTTCTGCAAAGTTCCTATGAATTCTGTCCAAACCAACTGGTGCAATGTGAGTAATTGTGATGTATTCAGCTTACAGGAGGTGAATTCAAAAATCACAAATTTTCTGTCTGACTTGGCATTTGATGATCCATGGAGCATTTTTTTCATGACCGTCTTGTCTCCTTTGGGATATATCAAGGTAATTATTTACATCTCTCCTAAGCGTCACAGCACTGAAGGAAAATGTCTTAATATTTTTTCCTCAGATTATCCATAAAAGATAAGTTGGTGTTTTTGCTGGTGTCTGTCACTTCCATAGGTACACCTGTGTTAGAAGAGATTCTTCATCACACCTGTGTTTTCCTGTTTTTCATGTGAAGTCATACTGAACAGCATATTTCTTGTGACCACAATATCTTTATCTCTCCCTTGTTTGTAGAAAAGTTTTTTGCTCTGTGCAACATTGAGGAGCTGTATTGTGATGCTTCTAATGTAGTCTTGCACTATAAATATCCCAAGCAATGGCCGATTTTCATTGAGATTGATAAGGCTCCTTTATCTTATTTTTTTTTTTCCAACTTGTTTGCAGGTGAAAATAAATTGCATATGTGTAAAATAGGATTTTAGTTGGTGCATGTATTTATGTGATGACTTAATTTTTGGTTGAAGACCTATAACATTATATGGGAATTGAAATTATAGGATTTTGGGGTAATATCAGGGATATAAGATTAGCTAAAGTACTGGCTATTTTAATAATACCAACAATAAACGTAGGAAGATATCCTGAATTTCTCTAGTAAAGAGAAATTAAAAGCCTTTTGTAGTGATTTTCTAAACCAAGCACTATTTCAGGCTGATTTTGCTGAGGTGATTGCTTTATCTGCATGCTAATCAGACTCAGTAGTTGTGCTGTTCTTTTAATTGTAGTTAAACAAAACAAAGGAGCCATTGGGAATTACAAAAAGAAAAAAACCCACATTGTTCACTCTGGCCTAAGTCACTGCTGACAAAAATTCAAAATCTGGTTGTAGGCTGATGTTCAGGCCCGTATACACACAGTTAAAAGAATTCCTGATGGTATGCCTGGCCGATTTTGAATTCTAATTTATAACTGAGGCAGTTTGGAGCACACTAATGAATGGATGCTGCCACCTTATGGCTTTCTGCAGGACTTGATTAACTCTAATAAGGGGGAGCTGTCAGGCACGGTCAAAATCAAACCAGGCAGCAAGGAAAGGTTATCCTAGGACTCAGCCAGGAATTTGGCTAAGCAGGAGAGGAGCAGTTCCCCCTTGGCTGACCTGTGATGAGGTTGGGTGTGGAGGGAGAGGTGTCATCCTTGGGACATTCTGTCCCCTCAGTAACAGGGTCTGTTTTCAGAGTGTTTAGTTGGTCACAGTCAATTCTTTCACCAGCCCACAGGATTGTGTTCCCTCTGTGTGAGGGCTTTGCTTGATTTGGCTCTAAGGACTGATGGGACTGGTGCTGGTTGCAGCAGGAGAGGGGTCAGTGCCTTGTGGTGCTCAGGACCTGTGGATGATCTTGAGAAATGTCTTGGGACTGGACACAGCAGAGGGAAATAAAGCAAATAAATAATATAGGGAATGGAAGAGCTTGGTACCTCATGAATGTAATTATGGAAAGGAGGATGCTGACTATTCAAATATTTATGCATCATTAGTAATTGCAGTCCATTGTTTCAGTATTCTGTGTGTTACTCTGTTGGGTTCAAGGACAATGAAAACATTAAAATATATTCTGAAGTCATTTATTGTATAGATATGGAAGTCAAGAAAGGAGGAATTCTGTTAAAAATTTTGGGCTCAATTCTTGTGCTTCTTCAGTTGTATAGTCAATTTTATTCTAATGTAGTTTGTTTCTAAATTAATCCAGCATAAAATTGAACTACAGTTAATGTATTTCAATGTCTGTATTCTAAATTGAATCATTATCCTTAAAACAAACACAATGAATTTTGTGTTTCATGCCAGGAACATTGTAAAGTCCATAAATGTTCAATGAAGGACATCTTTATTAGACTATTTCCACACACACAAGCCAAAAAAAAACCCAAACCACAAAATCCCCATGTCTTATATGCTCTCTAAGTTTTTTTACAGGCACTGCAGGCAGGAGTTTCTGCTGTTTGCAGCTCATTGTATTTGCAGATGCCTGGAATTGACTGCTGTGCTTTTGAGGCATTTAATGGCATTTAGAATATTTAATGATCTGCTCAAGGGTACTTCAGTTTGAAAAACTTGCTGCTGTTGGAGGATTTGTAGGTGTGAGTGATGAAGCTTTTAAGCAAAAATTGAAGCATTTGTTCCTTCATGAATAGGATTCTTAAAGACAGAAACAAGAGGCTGGTGAGACAGAAGAGAAGTCTTTAAAGAGGTTTGGGTAGGTGCATGTTTTGAGGTTGACTTCAGATTGAAATATAATGTTAGAACTGTTTTAATTAGCCAAGGAGTTATCAGATTTGTTTATAAGGAATATGTTTTTCACAGCACTGAAATGAGCCTGCATTTACTGTGTGACAGTATTGAGGCCAGACTTGGCAAGGGAATTACATGACTTTTGCTGTGGCCTTCTTCACCTAAAAGCTCCTGTGAAGTAAACCCAAGGAACTCTTGGAAATGACCATTCCTTTTCTTTTCTATCTCCCCAGCTCTCCTCAGTTCGCATGCAGGGGTTGCTGCTTCTGATCTTTGTGAAGCACGTGCACCTTCCCTTCATCCGGGACATCCACACCCACTACACCCGGACAGGCCTCTATGGCTACTGGGTAAGGACTGCCTGAGGTGTGGTTACTGCTTACTCATGGCACTGTCTTCCTCTCCATGGCTCCATGCTGGGACAGAGGAGATGTGGTTTAATTAACAATTCATAACCTAACAAGCAGACTCATTTGTTTGAACCTCGTGTGCAGACCATAATTTCAGTTTTAAGTTTATTTGCTGATATGCAACAAGTTGGATAGAAAGGAATTGTACTGATTTAAATCTTAAATGCAAGATTTAAAAAGCCATACGTGGTGTTAGTTACATTTGCAGACATTGACTGCAGTTTCAGGGAATGTGTTCATCTTCCATCCCAGGGGAACAAAGGAGGAGTCAGCGTCCGCATGTCCATCTTCGGACACACGATCTGTTTCATGAACTGCCACTTGCCAGCTCACATAGAGAACACAGAGCAGCGACTGGATGACTTTGAGAAAATTCTGGAAATGCAATTTGAAGGAGAGAATGTTCCAAGTCCCTTGGATCATGAGTGAGTTGTTCACTCAGTTCGGTGTTGTTTTTATCTATCATAGGGTGAACTCTTGCACTGAAGAGTTTTGGGTTTGTATTTTTCATTCATCATTTTATTTTAAATGTCCCTTCAACCTTGACCCTGAACCCTGGGAGGAAAAGAACCTGAAAGACAGATGTCTGTATTACAAGACTGTTTTCTTCCAATCTCTAATTACATTCATTTGTTACCATATAGACTGTACATGTCATGCAGGAAAGCTTTGGAAGCTAAAGCCTGTTTATACCAAAAATCCTTTAGGTTGCTGTTAAATGTTCAGAGATGTAAGACTCAGGAGAAGTTAATATTCAGGCAGTAATCAGCAAGCAGCAAGAATGCAACAGACTTAATTTACTGTTTCAATTACTTAAAGTTTTTTTGTTTAACAGCAGGTTGTCCCTGATCTATAACTACTTAATGTTTGTGTTTAAGCTGTTTGCATTAAGTAATAAAAGCTATTGGAGCACCTAATTAGTCTAATGGCTAATATGCTGTCAAAATGTTCCCCTGAGTTAATAGATTTGTATAAATCTTTCTTGTTTGATGCATTTCGGTTTGGTTTTAAGGGTTCTCTTCTGGTTTGGAGATCTAAACTTCCGGATAGCAGATTATGGGATACACTTTGTCAGAGAATCAATCAACAACAAGCGTTTCAATCTGCTCTGGGAAAAGGACCAGGTAGGTTGGCTCAGTCAGTCTCTTGGGGGGTTTGGTTTTGGTTTTAATGCACACAAAAACCATGTGGTAGTTAAATTACACCTTGAGCTTCTAATTTCTGTTAAAGAGCACAAACTCAGAGCACTCATGAGCTGGTTATAAGCCCCAGTTAATTGCAAACTTTTTTTTGCTTTTGTGCAGTTTCTTACTCATTTACAATGCTCATATTTGACTGGAGATTTCTTTGAACTTCATATCTTGTCAGTTGCTCCTCACCTTTATGACTCCTCTTCTCCCAGGAAATATTTTTAAGAGAACCTTAATCTGGATTTTGTTTTGGGTAGAATTGCCTCTAAACTTTTATATGGATTGTGTCAAGAGTTCTGGCTATAACAAAGAGGCCCTTCTGAATTTACCTTTCCAGTGTTGTACTGACTGCAATGTTGAGTTCTTGGAAGATGCTTTCCCAATCATCCCTTAAGCTTTTATTTTTTAAACATAATCTTTTAAGAGTTACTTTTTATTTCTGCAGTTAAATATGGCAAAAAAGAATGAACCATTTCTGAAGGAATTCAAAGAGGGTCCTCTGCAGTTTAAGCCCACCTACAAGTTTGACCTTTACTCAGAGGTCTATGACACAAGGTAAAAGATAAAATGACTTTAGACATGGAATATGAGAGTGAATGTGGTGCTTAGTTAAATATCACTTCAGTATTCAGCAGACCTGAATTTTCTGAGTGTGCTGGGGCTGTTGAGCTGTTCTGTTAGGCTTGGATTTATCAAATTTGAACAAATATTTTTTGGCTGAAGAAGCTGGGGTCCCCTAATTGTATGAGGGAAGTAATGAAACAACCCAGTTGCCTTTTTTGAAAGACCAGATTAACAAAACAAATGAGCACTTGTTTAAGCTGCTTCTGTTTTGTTCTTTCCTACTAGAAGTGCTCATTGGTTGTCAAAAGGGAGCAAAAGAATAATTGTCATTTACCTTCCTTTCTCTGTTTAAGCATTTCATTAGATATACTGGTATTTGAAAATAAATGTATATTTGTCTTTCTTGATTATTTTAAGTTGAAGATGGAGTATCTTAGATTTCCAAAGTTTTTCTGTCATATTAAAGTCTGTTTGTTAAGTATTAGTCTTATGTTTCCACAGAAAGATAAGTTCCTGTCCAAACAGGGTTTTGTACTGATCTTTTTCTTTACTTCCAGAGAGCAGAAGTCCCTGTTTTGGTTTAAGTAAGATGAGAACTTTCTGAATTTTGTAGTTTTTTTTAATATTTCAGAATCAAAACAAGGCTCCATCTGAGCTTTTGCTTTGATTTTTGTGAAATATTTGAAAATCAGATGGCAGCTGATTTTCTTTAGGGATTTTCTTAACCTGCCTGAAAGCTGCAGTGTTATCTACTCTGCTGTTGCACTTTTAATACTGGAAGTTTATTCATATGGACCCAAAGACATCTTGCTTCCAAATTGAATATAAAGGGATGCAATGGGACCAGCAGTAAATCCATCTAACAAAAAAGACTTAAAATAATCCAAACCTGGACATTTTACAAATGATTCATAGCCTGATTGTCTATATTGGCTGATTTAGAGAACAGAAAGTGTGGTTACACATTCTGTGTGTGTCCTGCTGCTGTTCAAGCTACCAGAGGCTTTGCTCAGATGGGGGTGACCAGCAGACCTCAAGGCAAGCACCCTGCAAAAGTTGCTTTTAATGAAGCCCACAGAATTTTATTTTTTTATTCTCCTTCATTGTGAATTCTGAGGGTTTGTTTCCCATCTAATACCCCATTTTCTCTAAAACAGTGAGTGTTTTACTTTAAGCTGTTCTTTTGGTATTTTTCTGCACAGCAGAGCAGACATCTGGCATCTCCTGAAGATTTCTGTCGGTTTATAGAATTACTGCAGTAAGTGGGATAAGGGCCCTTAGGAATTTCAAATCTTTCCACCTTATTAAAGGTGGGCAGGGGTAAAACAAAATGATGCTGAACATTGAACTAAATGGCCTTGGTTTTGATGTTTAAAGTTATTAAACTGACAGTTTTCCTTACACATCCTGCTTTTTAACTTTTATGATCCAATCCAGTCCATTCTAATTGCTCTTCCATAGGGTATGATCTTTTCTCCATTTCAATTTGAAATGATCCATCCATCCAGAGAGTTGCTGTTAAGCCTTCCTCCCTCTACAGAGAGAACCACAGAGGGCTCGTGTCTTCTGGTGTAATTGATATGTTATGAAAGGAAACTCTGCATTGTGATAAGTTTGATGTATAACACACTTGCAGGCACAACTTCCTTGATTATGGAATTTTGAAAGCCTGTTGTTATGAGACAGCAGTAGCTTGTAAACCTGAAATGCAGGCTGATACAATTTAGAGGAACTTCTAAATAAAGTGTTGCTGTGGCACCTGTGATTACCATAAGCTACCCAAGTTTGTCCTGTTTTTTTGTTGTTAGAAGAAACTTGCTCTTAAATATTTTGAATAATTTCAAATGTCATTCAGACTCTTGCTACATATTCCTTATGTTTGCACCCTTATTTCTCAGAATATCTGTATGTTTAGAGCCTGGGGCAGTTGCTGTATTATCTCAAGGTTCATGCATGTTTTTACAGGGTTTTAGGAGAAAGTATCATTTCCTGTATGAAGCCAACTAACCCAATGAAATGTCCTTCTCCCCTTCATTTTACTCCTCTTTCAGAAAACTATGAAACTGATCCATGCTGAATGGAGTTCAAATTAAGGAAATGTTGGTTGTGAAACACATTAAACAGAGCTGTAAAATGAAGCTTGGATATGATTGCCTCCTTTTATTAATATGTATCTCACAGTCTTTGAACTCTGAGTAGATTTTGCACAGCATTCTTAAGTCTTTAGCAACTTGTTACTCTGCTCATTTCACTTTTTATCTTACATTTTTGCAGTGAGAAGAAAAGAAAGCCAGCATGGACTGATAGAATTCTATGGAAAGTGAAAAATCTCAGTGAGGTTGCATCAAAAGAAGGCGAATTCCCTGAAGAAGAGAACCTGATTTCTGTTACTCTGAATAACTATGTCAGTCACATGAGCTATGGCATCAGTGATCACAAACCTGTCACAGGAACTTTCAAGCTTGAGGTGCTGTCCCAGTTACGTTGTTAAGAAAAAGTTTTACTCACCGTTGCCTTATAGCAGCTGATTTCCTAAACCACAATCTCTGTTTCATTCTGATCATAGTGGAAGCAGCAAATTGCTTTCAGGTTATTTCCAGTCAGTTAAAGAGTCCCACAGGTGGCAATTGTGGCAGAGAAAAACTTGAATAACTGAAAGAATGACAGGCTTGATTGAGTTTAAACTCTGTTTTTTTTGTGTAGATGAAGCCTCTTGTCTCGGATCCCTTGGTCATGCTGAATCCTGAGGGTGAGTGGAGTGCAGAGCATGATGTTCTCATCCGCTATTCTGCGGTGCCTGAGTTCCCCAGCAGTTCTTGGGACTGGATTGGGCTCTTCCAGGTAATGTTACCTCATCATGGCTCTTCAGCAAAAATGGGGAATATGACTGCAGGAGGTATTTGAGAGTTTTAGAGCACTGATTCTTGCAAGTGCAGAACTCTGTGAAAATGTGTCCTTGATTGCCATTAGTTTCTGTGTGGTGACAGTTCAGCTCTACAGTGTGAGTTCTTCTGCACCCTTTAAATTCTCTGCTAAGATAATCTGGTTGTTTATTGAAGTAAAATGTCGCAGAAGCTGTGGAAAGGATTTTATGCAACAAAAAGAAGGAAGAAAACTAAAAGTGAATGGAAGGGTGAGAGAACAGAGCAGTCCCACTCTCTCAGAAACAGAAGATGTGTGCATGCCCCCAAAATGTTTTGATCCTAAGAGTGTTTTCATTACTTCAGTGAAACAGTAAACATCTCTCACAACTTTTTCTTTCATGTGGTATGGTTTTTGTTTCCATCAGGAAGCTGAGGTTTGTGTCTTTTTCTGCAGGTGACTTTCAGGCACATGAAGGATTATGTTACTTATGCTTGGGTGGAAGATGATGAAATTTCTTCCAACAGACACAGCAAACAAGTCAGTTGTATTTCTTTCTAATGTAGCTTCCCCCTTCCCCTCAGGGGTGCTGTATCTTCTTCCCAGTTGAAGCTAATTTGGAACAATATTATTGTTTAAAATCCTTCTTCCTAATTCTTCCTATTGGATCTTTTGGTCCCTCTTTAAAAACTGCTGTTAAAGCTTTCTAGTAGTGATTACCTAAAGTGATTTAAGCCAAACAAATAAAACTTATTTTGATGCATATGAACAGTAGCTCCTTGGGACAGGAGCAAACCAAGCTTGTGGATTGCTGTGCTGTTGCCACCAGGAGGCAGCTCCACTCCCTCTGCTGCTTGCTGGCTTTGTCCCTTTCCTTCCCTCCACTCTGGGTCTCTCCTCCCTTGTCACTGAACCAAACCAGCTTGCTGACATGGTGAAGGATATTCCCTCTCCTCCCTGATTTAATTTTCAGATGGTTTCCTGGTTTCCTGGTTATTTCTGTCCCCATCCGTTTTAGCTTACGTTTTAAAAGTGCTTATAAATAGCAAATACTGATTTTGATGGTGTCCTGAATAGCTCTTTCGTAAACTTATTTTTCTGTGGAAATTGCTCATTGCCTGTTCTTATTCTTGCCAGGTTTACATGAGTGCTTCAGAAATACCTAAGGCAGGAGGAGAATTTTTGCTCTGTTATTATAGCAATAACTTGCAGTCAATAGCTGGCATCAGTGAACCTTTTCAGGTAATACATTAGGAAGTATTGATTAAAGTTGATAGGATTTTTTTTCTTTTTTTCTATTATTACTTCTTTTGTTTTCATATGCATCTGAACATAGCTGTGTTAATCCTTGGAAAGGTGGCAGCAGAAGGAATTTTAAAAAGAATATGTTCTGGCTAAAAAGAATTTGCTGCTGCGCTGAAAGACTGAGTAACTGTTACAGCACCACATAGCAGTGAAACAAGACAGGTTTCTCTCCCTTACTGTTCACTTTTGGAACTTCATGCTCCCTGTTACATCCCCAGTTTCTGTAAAGATGACAAGTCAAGAGCTGCCAAAATTGTGGCTGATTGTAAATGAGCTTTTTGTGCTCCATTCTGTAATTTGCACCTATGTGCTTCCTGTAAATTGTCACTTGAATTTGGGAAGGATGGGACAGCGGGACTCAAGTTACTTGATTAATAGGCTCTGTTTAATTTCTGCAAGGATGACTTAACCTGCCCAAACAAGATGAACTGACCAAGCATTGCTGCTTCCACACAAGCACTGTTTTTTCCAGAATAGTTTTGTTAGTGCATAATTTTCCATGCTATCATGTGCTGAGGAATCACTGAAATAGTAATTCTGCATTGTTGATGATGAGGATGAAGGGGTTTTAGAAGACTGTGAAACCTCAGTGCCTCAGGGGATATAATGATGAAAGTTCCTGGGCTGGCTGGTATCTCATTCCTATTTTATACTATTATATATTTTTTTAGGTATTCTATTCCTATTTTTCTCTGTATGGGTGAGAAACATGGCAGAGTGAAATATTTATGTTGTCTCTGAGCTCAGTATCTAGCAGAGATTCTGCAGGATTGTTGCCTTTCTTCTTGTGTGACATTTAATGTTTTGATATCTCTGTAGTGGGCTTACACTACAAATTTTTTTAATCTTCTCAACTTTTAGAAAGCATGACAGACTTCTTTATGTAATGGTATGGATAACATAGAGCAACACAGTGCTTTTGAATTGTTAATTTGTTTTTTATCCTGTTTTTCTCCTAGATTCAGCCTAGCCGAACACCAGTAGAAAAGGATCTGCCAGAGGAAGGGAGCAGTTGGCTGCAGAAACCTGACAATCCAGAATCAGGTGGTGATTCTGAGAAAAGAAAGAACATTTAATGGTCCTGGTTCAGCAGTCAGATTCTTTATGTCTTAGTGATTGTAAGCTTTTGCTCTTAGAAGATGGAGTAAGACAGGTAGGATTGTTCAGAAATTTTGGAAGCTCGTAGAAAATAATTTATTGTGGAAATGGATATTTTTATTCTGGGGAGAGTAATTCTCTTGCACTGGATGAGAACTGTAAAATAGCACTTAAGGAATGCTGTATGTTTTGAGGTGATAGATATTTCTAATGCAATGATTTAACCTAAGCAAGTTGCAGTGTTTAATAGGTTTTCAGGCCCGTTCCTTTTTTTGTAGAGGATATTTTATTTACGATGCAATATTTACTATGCTGTAACCACTTAATAATTGATTTCCAAATTTTGAGTTTAAATGAAGTTATTTAAGAATTATTTATTAGATACAGCTAGTTAGCTTGTTTTGAAATTTTATTTGACTTTCAAATGTAAGCTAATTACCTTTTGGGAAACTCTAGTGACAACAGGTCACATGAAAAACAAAATCTTTGGAGTGTGTAAAGTCTCCTTTGGTAGATCCTTCTCTTCATGCCTTACTGAGAACTCTTTGTAGGATTTTCCATTTCTGATTCTTCCAAATAGAAATACATTTATCAAAATGCACTATTCCTGATTTTTTAAATTCTTCTTTTATAAAACAATTAAGCAATTTGCCTTTTGCCTTTACACCCCTCATTAAAAAAGTAAAATAAAACCATTCTTATACCAGTCCCTGGCTTGGAGTGAGCCAAGGTCCCACAACTTCTGAGGAAAATTGCAGAAGTTGAGAAATGCTTTAGCATAGGTGACCAGCTCATGGTTGATGATTTGGCATAATCTTTGAAAATTGTAAATCTCTTCAATTTGTAGCAGTCAGTCTGCAAACTTTCTGTTTTTCTAGAGGTGCTCAGACCTTTCTGTATCCTGTGCACTTGAGGGTGGAGGTGAAATAAGAAATTTCCTGTACCTTTAGGAGCCTGAAAGGTAGTTGGCTTCTGAAAGGGTCTTGTTTCTTGATGAGGAAATAGAGATCTTTGGAAAGGCTGGGAAGGGGCACCAACATTCCACAGAATCTCAGACTGCAGTGCTGGGACAGAGCACTTTGAGGCTCCCTTGTTCTGTATCCACAGCTCCCTCCCATGTGTGGTGAGCAGAGTTAGTCACTCCTCACTGGCACAGGGATAGAAAAGAGCAGATTTGGCTCAGGTGGAAGAGCAAGGGGTGTTGGGATGTTCATGCTGGAATTCTGCTTCAGAACTGAGTGGATTCCTTTTTGCTCTTTTTCTCAAAGCCTTATTTTTTTCAGGGTTGTTTTGAGATAGAAAGTTAACAGCTTGATAGAATATTTGTTTTGCTTTTATCATTCACTGTATCAAATCTTTTGAGGCCCAGGTGTCTTTGTGTCCTGTTGAAGGTCTGACATAGAATTCTGGTTAGGTAGTTGCAGTGGGCTTTAGGAACACTTGACCTCTGTAGGTTTTAGTTGTATCTCAGCTTGGTGTTGGGAACTGTTCCCACTGAGTAGTGAGGGCAGGTTCAGAGGATACTGTGTTCATTGCATGGATTAGCACTGCCTTGAGGTTTACAGTTTGTACATTCCTGTTACACTTTGGAACCATATTAGAAACAGTTTTCCCATTTATACTGATCTCCCGAGAATTTGTTTTGCACTGAATTTTTCAGGTATGTAACTTCTCATGGCAATTAGGGCATCAGACAAATCCCTGCTTTGAATTGCAGTACCTTCTGCAGTTCCTGAGTTGTGCTCTATCTCTGGTTTCACTTGTGTAACTCTCTGACCATTCTCCATGCAAGGAGATTCTGTGGAGAGCCCGAAGAGCAGTGGGCTTTGAATTCCAGACCACAGCTGGCGATTTACTGTGGACCAAGATCCAGTTTCTTCTAAGCAGGGTGCATCTGCTGGGCAGCAGCAGCTCAGAGGGAGCCATGCAGCCTCTTTTCAGGGGCAAGACACTCGAGATCCTTTGTGTTTGTGGGAGCTGAGAGCCCTCTGTCACTGGACACAGAAGCTGCATTTTGTAAACTGATCCTTTGAACCACGGGACTTCCTGGAAAATGCCCCCAGCAGCTGGGATTGGAACTGCTTATGTGTAAGGAGGATGCTGCACAGAACTCTGCACTTCTTTCTTCAGTATTATGCACACAGAGGCACTTTTGTTTACTACTGTTACCTATGGTAGCTTTTCAAACTATTCCATGACCTGTAATGATGCAATTTCTGATGAAATTTATCTTTTCTTAAAACACCTTTAATTGGATGTTATAATCACTGGAAATGTTTTTATACTCATGTGTTTTTCTTTTCATGTACCTCTAAAATAAATCCTGGCAGTGAAGTGTTGTGCATGGCCTCTGTTAATTTGACAAGGAACAGACTGGTTTGGGTGGGAGAATTAATTTGTCACCTTTTTCCAAGGAACTTGTTTTGGTCATGTTTAAAGCACAGATACAGAGTATTATAGAAGGAAATCAGTAACAGCCTATGGTAGGGCTTGGGCTGCAAAAGAAGAGCAAGGAGAAATGCTATTTTTCCTTTGGACAAAGCAGATTCATCTTATGTTTTCCCCTATTTCAATGAATCCAGTATTAACTGCTCTTGTGGTTTTGCATTTTCTGCCCCTCTTCCATGTTGAGGTTTTGACATTTTCCTTGTAAAAATATGCAGACCACTTGATATTGTTTCTTAATTTTTGAGAACAGGTTCTTCTAATTTCACTTTTTCACAGTGAAATTGTGAAATTTTCACAGTGAATTTTTCATGGTGTGATTTGAGGTGTCTCTTTTGTCTTTATGAAAGATCTGCTAAGTTATGCTTCATATTTTAAATTTGTGTATTTTAATATAAATTTGCATTTGGTTTCTATCTAAGGAGAACTTTTCGTAACTCCTTGCTGTTGGAGAATTAATTTCCAAATGGGAACTATATATCCCAAGGAATGTTGTCCAGTTTAGCCTCCTTTCACTCCCATATATTTCTGATTGCTGCCTAACCTCAGGATGTGCAGTGTATCATTGCACACAGATAGTACAGCTCTGTGTAAACAGGAAATATTTCTAAGATGTCTTGCGTGTTTGTGAGACCCTAAAAATACGTTCTGATAAAGACCATTGTTTCTGCTACCACTGCTTCCTTCTCTGCTCTTGGATGCTGAGTGACACTCAGATGAACTTGTCTGAATTAATATACTGCAGTGGAAAGGCCAGTTGAACAAAGCTGGAATTAGGTTTTCCTTGAGAGAGGAAATGATACCTTTTTTGAGAGCTCCGTGTTGCTAACAGGAAACTTCCTGTGGCTCTTTCTGCCCCTGGATTTAGGGATTGCTGTTTGAATGTGATTGATACAAAGCAATTTCTATTTAATACACAGTTGCTTTGCAAAATGGTCTGCTCAGGAGCTGCCCTGAACTTGTTTAATTGCTTCAGTTTGAGGAACTGTAATCCTCTATTACAGTAGAGTTGTCATTTTCCACTTACAGGGTCTCTGCAATTAAAAAGCACATTGTGCAGCCTAGAAAGAAGCAAGAGAAATCTGTGTGGGAGCAGCTGAACACAGGTTGGGAGAATCACTGAGTGAAACAGTGAGATCTGGGAATGCAAACTGGCGAGAGGAAATGCAGAGGTGCAGGAAAAATTCAGAAAATATTAATATAGGGACCACAAAAGGATGAAAAACGGAATAGCAAACGTTTTAACCTGCTAAGCATGCTTTGAAACTGGCAGTTCTCAAGTACAGACATCAGCTCTGGTAGGGAATGTTTCAGCATCATTTTTCAAATTCCAATTGCACTATAACTGTGTGGTTTTACATCTCAAGGTCATCAGAGACCACATTATGCTCCTCTGTGCCCTTTTTTATTTCACTCTTTCTTTTAATTTTTTTTTCTCCAGCTTCTTTCTGCTATCTTTACCTTTTTCTTCCTCTTACCACTCACTTGTAGCCCATTTTCAGAAGGTTTTTTTTCACATAATTCTGGTATCTGCATCACAGGAGCCATTCCACTAGCACAGCTTTGGTGTTCTGATGTTTGTGATTTCTCTCCATAGAAAGGGGAGATAAATCAGGCTAGGTATTTCTCCTTATTACTGAGAATAGGATGGGTTTGCCTGGGGAAGTGACGGTGTTTGGTTTCTTAATGTGATAAAATCTATTTTTTTTAGTGGGACTCTGTATTGGGAAGTAAGTGCTCAAGGAAACAATTGTTGGACTGGAACAATCTTGTGTATAACAGCTAAGGAAGCATAAGAATAATTCCAGATATGAAACAGAGAACAGTTACAGGCTCTTTCACTGCAGTTGCTGAACAGAATTGTGTTACCTGGATCTGCTCTGGAGAGGCCAGTGCTTGTTAATCTTATTAATTAATCTTGTTAATGCTTTCTTGGCAAGCATTGTCAACTGCAGTTGGTTTGTAGTAGAGTTGAAAATTCAAATTTGGCTCTTCCAAGAAGATAGAAGGAATTATCTCCTCAGCAAATCTTAAAAGTACCTGAAATTTAGACTGATTTTTTTCTCCCCCAGTCACAGGCAGGATATCTGATATCTTTTCTGGAGGGTGATAGGTCTGGCCACTCTATTAATGGATGGCATGATCATTGTAAAGCTCTGTAATTCCACTTAAACCAGCATTCACCAGATTATTTTTTTCCTATTTGTAGGAATTTTCATGCTCTAACGTGCCAATTGATTTCCTTTGCCATGATTAGTTAGCTACTCAAGGACTCAATTAATAATGATTCCGTTCTGCAGCAGTTTGCAGAACTTCCTGTAGTTACCATGGGAGCAATCAGGGTTTTCTATTGCTTGCTCTTGGAGGCAAAGATGAAGGATTTTTTTCTGCACGAAATCTCCCAGTAGATTTTTGAATTCCACCATGGGAGTGTTTCGTGCCAGCACCTCTGAAACAGCATCCGCAGCGACCTGACTTTTCTGAGCCCGGTGGGACAGAAATGAAACAGCAACAAAGTTGGAGGCAATAAACACAAACATAAATTTAGGCTTCTTGGAACTGTCATGGCACGTTGGAACGAGTGGAAGCCAGTCTTGAACTTCATTGTTTCAGCTCGCACCTAACACTTGGTATAAATACAGAGGTTCATCTTTTCCTCTCACAACAGGGCTCCGAACCAAGGACTGCACTTAGTCAAAGCTGGCTACTGCTGCACACTGAAATCAGAACTATCCATAAAGAACAGAGGGATTTACTGACTTTCCTTGGGAGAATGGAACTGCAGATTGAACGTATTCCTACAGGAGAAATCATCCGTGTGGTCGGCCACAAGGCAGAGCGCAGGACTGTAAGCCTGGCTTTTATTGTTCTCTGGTACTGCCCGTTACACAAGAACCACCTTAGTTCTGACTGAGCAACTCCAGGGCAAGAATGGAAGGGTTTGCAAGGCTGGGTGGTCATTGGAGTGACTGGAGCTGTGTTGTGAACAGGTTTTTTTTTTTCTCTGGGAAGGAATTAGTAGCAGTGAACTGAGTGAGAGTTTAGAAAATACTTAAAATTTATTTCCTGTAGAAATAAATTGCAGTGAACCAAAGTTGGTGTTTGGCCTGGCTGTATGAATTCTGTCAGAATTCTGTGAGCATTTTCAGACTGCAGAGGAAGGGAAAGAGCTTTGAAACAGTTACTTTGTTCCTCTTGTGTTGATTGTGCTGTCACAGGGTTCATGCTCTGAATGTTACAGGAAGAGTCACATATGGAAAATTCAGTGGTACAGGCACATATTAACGAACTTACAAATATCTCAAGGAACTGATTAGTCTGTTAACTTGGGACTTTGTTGACTTGTGTTCAGGGTTTGTATATAAGCAAATGGAAATCCATGAGCTGATCTTTTCTGGTTTGACACAAACAGTTGAGAAAGATGGTACTTTTCTAAGAATAATTTCAGTGTTCTTGGAATGAATGGCTGTTCTGTGTGTTTGCTTCAGAATATTTTCTATCTGCATTTGTATAATTTTTAATTAAAGAAGTCAAAAGAAAAAGAACTGTAAAATTTAAAATGTTTGGAAGTACCTAAATCAACTGTGAATTTATCTCTCTCTGTCATAGCTATTTAAAACCTGTTTAACAGATCTTCAGCTCTGGTTGAGCCATTCTTGTACTGAAGTGCACATCTGTGCATATCGCTGCTGTTTCCTAGCATTGTCTTTCTAGTGACTAATCTGAAACTCAATCTGAAAATGAGCTGAGACGTTTACTGTGTGGTTATACAATTGTCAGGTAGAGCCATTTCACTTCAGAAAAAACCGGAGAGCTCCCTCTGCCTTGTTGGGGGAGGAGACAGTGGCAATTGTGGTGTTCTTTGGTTTGCAGGAGTGTTACTGACTTATTTCTAAGTGATAGCAGGGGACACTGACAGGACTGTTGTTTCCAGGGGGAAATGTTCCTTTAAACCGTAGCATATGCCAGGGTCCTGGGGGAGACATCAAAGAGAGAAAAGGTTCCATTTTCTAAAAAGTTTTAAACAGTTATTAACATTGCAAGAAGTGGTAATTTGCTACTTTGAAAACTGTGTGTCAGTCAGTGTTGGTGCTGCATTAATGGAGTGAGAGGGGTGGTTTTAGAGAACCTTTAAATTGCTGCAGGAGTGGCAGGAGCAGGGCTTTACTGTTTCATCTCAGAGTGTTGGAGTCCAGAATTGTGCAGAATTTCCTGTGGATCCTGACGAGACTGCCTCGGGTATTTCACACCTTTGTGGGATGAGCCAACCTGCTGCTCCCAGCGGATGGCTGCCTGAGCTCGGTGCAATCACTCCAGAGCGAACTTCACCCTGCGTCCTTCGCAGCAACATGCACTTCTGATGACTCCCACAGTCAGGAGGGGCCGGTAGAATTACCATCAGCGTTCGAGGTTTATCCCGTCCGTCTGGAGCACGCCAGGTGCGTCTCTCGGAGCGGCAGAAGCCGCTCAGCAGGACTCTGCCGCCGCTGCCAGTGCAAACAGGGCGGGCGGGCGAGGCGGGCTCCGGGAGCCGCGGGTGCAGGTGAGGGCGGAGCGGCGGCCCGCAGCCCGCATGCCCGGCGCTCGGACATGCTCACTAGCGGCGCTACGCGGGCTCCCGCGGGCAGTCGGCGCCGAGGCGCTCGCGGAGCCGCCGCAGGGCCCCGAGCCGCTCGTCCCGGGGCGCCCAGCGCAGGTGAGCGGGGCCGGGGGGGCCGAGCGAGCGCTCGGTGTGCGCGGCCGCCTCCTGCCCGCCCGCCCGGCCGGTGGCACCGGCGCTCCGAGCGCTCGGGCAGATGGCCGCGGGCTGCGGGGCGTGCGGGGGGCAGCGGGGGCGGCCGCGGCTCGGCCGTTCTCCGGCAGCCGCCGACCTTCCCGGAAACTCGGGACGTTC